TGTCAAATGCTTTGGCAAAATCAGCATATATGGAGTCAACTTGGTTTCCCGATTCCATAGAATCAACAATGAAGTTTGAATACAATATAAGATTTGTACAAGTAGATTTCTTTTGATAGAAACCATGTTGTTGACCGAGAATTAAATTTTTACAATCGTAGGTTAATATATGGTTAACAAAACAATCAAGCAACTTTGGTAGTTCAAACTGCAAACAAACAGCCCTGTAATTTTCAACATTATTATTTTTACCAGATTTAAAAATGAGTTTTAAAAAACTCACTTTCCAAAAATCAGGAAATGTAGAAGAAGTTAATGACTTATTGAATAATAACTGAATACGTTGAGCAAGAGTGAATACACATTTTTTAATAAAATACATTGGTATACCATCTGGACCCGCTGTCCCAGCAAACCCAGCAAATAAATTCACAATATCTGAACCATTTTCACTACTTTCATTACCATAACTCATACTCGATGGTAGAATATGAGATTTGCGTTTATTATTAATATATTTCCAGAAAAAAAGAATTATAAAAAATGCTAGCTTCAATTTCATTCACATGACGCCTTCGTAAATACTTGCTAAGCTCTTTACATTGTTCCCTGAGATCGGAAAAAAGACAATAGTTCTCATCACCACCAGTCATTTTAAAATTTTTATGTGCTTTTTTCTTCTCATAAAGTAAATGTTTAAACTTTGATGTAAACCATTTGGGATATGTAGATGTTTTAAATTTTTTTAATGGTATAAACAATTCGATTAAATAAAATAAAATATCATTAAAATCTTTAACTACGTCATTAATGCTTTTGTTAAGAAATAATAAATTCCAGTCAACTTCTGCTAAATAATAATTTAAAGCAACATAATCGCCATTTTTAAAGTCAAAATAGTATTCTTCATAATTAAGGACAGATTCTTTTATATCAACAATTACGTCAAAATTGACTGGTGTATGATGAAATCCCTCCTCAAATAACAGATCCAGAGGTACAGAAACAGATATATCAGGAAAGCTAGAAAAAATTAAATCAAGAAAAACATTTCTCCGGTTGGATATCGTATTGACCTGGTACAAGTCACAAATATTAATGATATTACATATATCGTTAGCTGGTGAGTTTTGGTTAGCCTGTACCGTGGTACCATAAAGACTGTTAACCCAAACTACATCAGGTAAATTATAATCCCCACAAATTATTAATTTACAACCCGGAATCTTATTATATATATATATATATATATATATATATATATATATATATATATATATATATATATATATATATTCAATACTATCACAGTGTTACTATATATACATGCCTATCAGATGCAGGAGGTAAATAAACACCATCAAATACGACAGTTTGACTTTGACACTTAAGTGAAACAAACATTTGCTCAACACTATTTTGAGGAACAAAAACCTCACACACTTCCAAATGTTTGGCAACAGCAACTAATACTCCCCCACCACGTTGTTTGACACTAGTATTATAATTTCTATCACTTCTAAAAATGTTGAAGTCTTCTAACCCCAATTCTGCATCATGGAATTCAAAATTTAACCAAGTTTCGACTAAAACAATCACATTGTAATCGGCGCATGTCACTGTCTGGCTTAAATCCTTAAGCTTTGTTTTTAAACCATCCAAATTTTGAAAATAAACATTTAGTACAGTTCTACCATTATGATCATTAACGCTACTTTTTGATTGCTATCTTTGATAATTTATTTTCTCTTTGTTTTTATTAATTTGTCGGAGATAGCTAGGACAGTTTGTATCAAATACGTGATGACCTGTATTAACACCATTTATTTTCATTACATCCTTCGCATAATTACAGTTAGAACAAGAATAATTAGTACTGTTGCATTGATTTTTTATGCTTACCTGCACATAAAGGACATGTATCTTGTTTGGCTTGACATTTGTCAATAAAATGTCCGAATTTCCAACAACGAAAACATCGAATTACACTTACAAATTCAAAAAATTTGTAACTGTTCCACCCGATATGAACTCTATCTTTTTTTGAAATTAAATATTGAAATTCTCTAGAGGACATTTCAACAATTACATTCACAGAATCGTTTCTACTTTTTTTCTGATTTAAATTTATGTATAATTTTAGCTTCTGAAATTAAATCCTTAGGTAAATTTTTGGATTTAAATTTATTTATAAAATCGTTAGAGTCTATATCGTCTGAGGATACATTAATTATTTTAATTTTGGGATTAACTATTGTTCTTCTGATATTTATTACCGTAATGTAAGCTATAGTATGTCATATTAATATGAAAATCTACGAGATATCGGAATGAGAATATAATCTGTGTACCATTAATAATTATCTACTTATTTTTTAAATAAACATGTAAAGAAGCACAATGAATTATTTGACTTAAAGTATAAAAAATACTTAAAAGCTTTATTTGTTTGCTTCAAAAGATCGTTTTAATAAACCTCCCACGTCACAGAAGCTTTAAGAGAGTTATAATACACCGAATTGTCTTGACGTAATTGTGTGTTGTTTATTATACTCTCACCTACCATTTTCTTGTGCTCTTAAATCATTAGAATACAAGAACAAAGCTACTTCTACGACAGAAATGAAATATTTTTGTTTAAGAAAGACACAAACAATGGAATGATTGTCTGAGATTTGTCTTTTGTGAAGGGATCACATAAAACCGTAATCTATGGTCATAGGCGTGTGCACAATAAGTATGCAAAGGAAAATAAACTTGCTTGTAATATGAAATATATATGTTATGGACCATATGATTAATTGGTCATTTTTCATAATGCCCGGGCTATATAAAAAATGCTCAATACTGTCGGTCAATATAATAAATACTATTAAATTCATCACATTGCCCGGGCATTATGTATAATGCTTGGCATCTACTAGACAGGATGATTAAAACTACTTTTATTTTTATTAAAGATGAAACATATTTATTTTGATACAATCAAGTATGTAGTAAAAATTAAAATATTTCTTATATACTAATGAAAACAGTCTTGCAGTCTTCATTGAAATGGCACATGAGTACATTTAATGAATAAGTATACATAAAAAATATAATACGTATTAACGTTAATTGAGGAAACCAAAAAAAGAATTCTGTGATTTTATTTGCATTTTTTTCTAATGACCGAAATCGATGGTAACACACAAAGCGGCCAGTGAGAAATTAAATCGTTTTTCTTCTAAATCAAACTCAATTTTAAATAAAAATACACTTACCACCTATGCGTGCTACATCACCGAAATTTATTTTGTATGAATGATTTACAATACATAACTACTTGTTGAAACATGTTCCACTATGGTGACACTTGGAGTTACATAATTTTTTTTCTTTACGACACTCACACTTATCGGATTTACACCCACCTTTACAACCGCACCTACTGTATCCTTGTCCACCACAGCTAGAAGATTTTCTTGCGCTTTCTCTAAGAGATATCTCAGTATCTGGAATCTCTTCTATGGAGATAAACTTTTCTTTACAAACCGTAAACTGGTTTCTTGAATATAACTGATTTAGTATGCCATATTTTGTGCCTAGTCTATGTCTTCCTCCGAATTAACATCAGTCAGAACTTCTTGGGGTAGAGAGCTTTTTAAACCAACTTTCAACTTTGTGCCGAACATGGCTTCATATAAACTACAACCTATACCAGTATGATGAGCTCTATTTTTCATTAGTTGAACAAAACGTAAGCCTTCAGACCATTTGTTTGTATTGTTGTCTTCTAACCACGAACTAAGCATATTGTCTACGTCTTGATTGGCCCTTTCTATAGATCCTCGACTCTGAGAATGCCTGGGTTTGCCATATACCATTTTTAACTCGGGCCACATGCTACACAGCTCTTTGATAATATGGTTAGCGAATTCTCTGCCATTATCACTATGAAGCACACTCGGCGCCCCAAATATTGTAAAAATATCCAAAAGTACATGCGATACTTCTTCTGCTCTTTTACTTGTAAGAGGTCGAAGTTGGACAAATTTGGTAAGTTGGTTTTTTTTGGTTTGGTAACATTATGTTTTTTCTGACAGGTCATGCATAAATTTAAATAGATAACAATCATCTCCCTTTTATAGTATATTTTTAAATTTAGAATGTACTTCCTTCTCCATTCGGTTTCTACCACCATGCCCGATAGTAATATGAAGATCGCGCAATGTATCAAATACTTCTTCTGTATGGACGTAGTATTTAATTACATTATCTTGTTTCACAGGAACAATCAATTTTTCTACTTCTCTAATCGTCATAACGTCGAATCTTCGTAAGCGCTGATAATCACTCAGCGTTTTATTTGTGTGTTGTTGAGTTTTTTACCTTCTGTATCATTTCCATGTAGGCTGTTTTTGTGAAAATTTGTGCATTTTGACTTTTTGCTGAAATTAATTCAGTTAACCGATTGTTAAATCGATTTTTCATATCACTTAATGGTTCTTCTTTTTCCATAGTTCACTATGCAATACTGTATAAACAAAGAATTAACAAAGAAATGTCACAAACAAACCACTTGTCGCATATACCGTTACTAACATTCAACTGCAATATGATTTATAAATAATGGCCGACGCGCTTCGGTGACTGTAACCTTGGATACAGCGCGTTGATTCGCTGCTGAAGATCGCATGATTTACTAAGAACGCCGATTTATCACATTGCCCGGCCATAGTAGCGCATTTTTCATAATGACCAGATAATATGATAAATTGTAAAAAGTTATCAAATTGTCCGCTGAAGTTAGTCATTATTAATAATGACCGAGCATTATACATAATGGCTAACATAATCACTTTGTCCATAACATATATATAAACAATCACGGCCTATAATTCGCAAATAGATATAATTTTATTACCTTGCGCTTAATGTTTTACCATTTATTTTTCTCTGGCCCTGTTTAGGGCTACTTGCATGCGCGTTAATAAATGATTTTTTTTTATTTCTTTCAGGCAAACACGCGCTAATAACAGTTCGCCAACCAAAAGGTCAGCTCGTCTCCATACGCAGCCAAGCAGCATTATTCGGTACAGCAACACCAAGCGAAATAAAAGTTTGGGACGCATGCGATGACGTCCAAGATTACGTGACAGTCTACGATGGGTACACTACGAGAGATCCAGTGATTCTTAAGTTCTGCGGTGGGGGTGAAGAGGTTCCTCCTGCTGTGTCCAGCGGGCATGAACTGTTAGTGGAGTTTTCGTCTTCTCCGTATGGTACTTTCCTGCATCCTACGCCGGTGCAGGCGTTGCATGGGTTTCAGCTAGAAGTAGAGGTGAGGCGATTTGAACGTATTAACTACAATCAGGAACAATGTTGCTGACAAAATTTAACAAAGAATTTAACACAGCTTAAAAACAAAATAAATAAATTAATGTTAATGTTTTTATTATGTCATTTCTTTCTGAATACTAAAGAATACCCTGCATCTGAAAGTTTCTGTTTCTGTCCTTTTGATCAAGTTAAATTGTGATATTGTCATTGTAAATAAGTTTTATTGGCCTTAACTAGTATTTAGGACTTGTTATTCTGAGCTACCCTTCTTATAGTATCAGTTTTAAATATTTTGGTTCCCGGATATTCTTCTTCCGACTGGGACTTCTCATGATCATTTCCTTTTTCTTTTCTCTCTATGTATGGTACGCTTTCCCAAGTACATTTCAGTATATCAAATCGCCATTTTTCTCGGTTCGGCTATAGGTTTTCCTCTATTTCTCTGTCTCTCGTACCAATTATAGGTCATTCCAAATATCAATCTTGCTTACTGACATATCATGTCTAATCATCCTCCCAGGACTTCTTTGATCTTCCTTTCCCACTCCTTTTCCAGGGACTAGCAAATGAGCGATTCTTTATATATAGTGATAAACCTCTCCACGTTGAATATGTCCTAAACTATCTTTTCCGATTTTCGAAGTGGAAATCGAAACAGTCAAGACAGTCATGAATTGTGTATGTATGGGCCTTGGGAATTTACCCAAATTAAAAAGGTATATTTTTAGATTTAAGACGAGTTTTACCACCCCTTTACTCTCGATCGTGTTAACTGTTTTGTAACGCAGAACATTTTGGTATCATTACCAAGCCAACCGTGAATTTGCATACATCGCTATAGCAAAAAATAAACATTCTATTCAACTATCGTCGAATATTATTTTAAAATAATATTAATATAGAACTATAACAGACATGGCGATAGGTTGGACAGTGGCAGCTGGCTGTTCCAAAACTGATCATGCGGCGAGAATAATAGCCACAGAAAAGGCAGATAGGCAGCGGAGCAGACGGCAATGGAAACCACTGCACTATTTTCACAAGAGAATTTCTTCCCATAATGATGACAATTTCAGTAAGTGGAGATGAGTTGTGTAGCGAACGACTTACGCTAGGTGCCATCTGGATTCCGGGTCGAATGGTGTGAAATATGCTATTGGTTGCCAAGGTGAGAGGGATCAGGCAGCTGACAGAAATTGTGCGACTAAATCCAAATTTTCACTAAATTTAAGAAAATATCAGCTAATTTATACATCGACCGTTCAGGGACTGATCCAAAACCCTGTAAAGTTACACATAATTGAAAAAGAAATGGTAGACCACAATCTTTCGATATTGGGACTCTCAGAAACTTAGAGAGGTAAATGATATTTTAAAACAACTGCTGACAACGTCTTCTATTTTTCAGGACCAGATAACACAGTCGCAATAATTGCACCCTCTAAACTGAACGACTGCTCAATTGGATATAATACTGGTAATGACAGGAACAGGCACAGAGAGCGATGGAGAGGTCAATGTTGGGCGTATCACTCAGGGACAGAGTTTCGAGTCAGATAGTAAGGAGAAAAACTGGTGTGACGGACGCAGTTGAAAGAATTACAACCCTGAAATGGAACTGGGCAGGACATGTTGCTAGGGTCAGAGATGGAAGATGGACAAAGAAAATTTTAGAGTGGAGGCCTAGACACGATGCTTATCGTAGTCGAGGACGTCCTTCAACAAGGTGGTCGGACGATTTAAAGCGCATCCAGTCTAAATGGATTCAAGTTGCTCAAGATCGGATGCAATGGAATTATTTACGGGAGGCCTATGTTCAGCAGTGGACGCAAAATGGCTAATGATGATGAATGACAGGAATTCAGATCCATTAAAATAAGAATATCCACCAATATCCTACACCTTGTCTAGATATACGCTCTTACAACAGCTGGACAAGAAGAAGAAATTAACAGGTTTTATGGTCGTCTAGAAGAAATTTTACTCGGTATTTCAAATCGTGAACTAATTAAAATTTTAGCAGACTTTAACACCAAAGTAAAGACATTTAATGGAAATATTGAAGAAGTGCAAGGCAAAAATGGACTGGGATAGAAAAATGAGAATGGCGACCGTCTAATGGAGTTCTGTGAAGAACAACATTTTACAATTACGAACACGTTCTATCAACATCATTTACAGAGATTATACACATAGCGCAGCCAGATTGACAAACAAGAAATCAAATAGACTAGATTCTAATATGATCAAGATGGAAGTCATCGGCTATCAACTGTAAAACATATCTTGGCGCAGATTGTGGAAGCGATCATCAACTCCTGGTATCGAACGTTCGACTTAATTTTAAAGTCCTCGAAAGAAGGCCCCTGAGACAAGGCATGTCTTTAAATTCATCAAAAATTAATGACTTCAAAGAAAACCTAGAAGTAGCTCTTTCTTTAGACCAGGTACATAGCGACCCTGAGAGCACTTGGATCTATCTCAAAGATAAGGTAATCGAAGCTGCAAAAGACTGTAAGGCAGCGGTTTCCATGGGCCATAAACCATGGATATCCGATAATACGTGGACTGTGATTCAATGCAGAAAAGAACATAAAACTAAATCCGAAACAAAGGATAAATACAGAGCGTTATCAAAAGAAATAAGAAAACAATACCGCAAAGACAAATCTGATTATATTTCTTAAATATACAGAGAGATAGAGGAATACGGTTGTCGAAATTAACCGACGAATTTATTTTAAAAGATCAAACTCCTTACCAGAAAATTTAAATCTCAAACGTGGTTTGTAATAGATAAGGAAGGCAATCTAAAGACCGATACTGGCAAAACTACTGTGGCGAGCTATATAAAAACAACGAGGTACTAGCAGAAAATCAGTGGCCCTCTGACTACCTTATAGAACCTATTGTCTTACTTGTTGAAGTCAAACATGCAATTAAATCGCTAAACAAAAATAAATCCACATGCATTGATTTAATACCAGGTGAAATACTACAGTTACTAGGTAACAAAGGATTAAATAACATCCATTATATCTATGCTGCTATTTGGAATTTTGGAAAATGCTGCCATCTGATTGGTGTACCTAAATTTATATCCCGCTACACAAAAAAGAACCTACTACCAGATGTGACAACTACCGCACACTGTCACTAAAAACACATGCAAGTAAAATCTTGTTGCATATCTTTAAAAACAGATTAAAAACCTGTCTTATTCTTCTTCAAGTGCCCTGTCCGTTACGAACGTTGGCTATTAACATGGCAATGCTGATTTTGTTTGCGCCGCTTCTAAACAGCTCGACCGATGTGAGCCCGAACCAATTCCATAGATTTTGGAGTTACGAGTGTCTCCTCCTGCCTGGCCCTCGCTTACTGTATATTAACTTATATAAACCTATATACTGTTATGAATCAGTTTATCGATCAGAAATAGAATAAAGAGTTTTTTATTATTTTAATGTACCGCGGGCATATAAGTTAAAATACAACCCTGTACTTATTTGTAATAGTTAAAATAAGAGAAAACATTGTTCCGTGACGGGACCCTAACGAGTTTTTCCGTGAAAGACTGAGTGAATAGTGAAAGGACAATGGAATCAGTATAATTATAGATTTAGGAATAAACTTGTAATTGTATTTTGCGGAGGGCATTTTTCGAAAGTAAATAAGAATTAGATTTAGATAAGAGATAACAAGAATTTGGAAACTTATTTCTGTTGAAAAAGGCAAAATTGTTAATGGTTTCTGAAAAGTAATTTGAGTGAAAGTAGTTTATTTGTTTTAAATATCATGTTGGAAATTTTCTAAATCGAAAATAAGTGGGAAAGATAAATGCTTATGATTGGTTAAAAAAAGAATGGTGGGAATGAGAGAGTTGAGAAGGTTGTCTGGGAGAGATTGAAAATTTATTATGTTACCGGCAGACCAGAAGAGAAGACGTGTTTTCGTGTAGTCAATCTGAGTACCAGTGTTTTCGTTTGTTAGTAAAAAAGGTGGAAGCTGAGAGCAGATCAAAATCGAGAAGATTAATACCTCTTTTGAGTCTGCATAGTCCATGAGATATAATTGAGAAAGAAAGGAGAATTTGTGAATAAATAGTACCGGTCAAAAGAGGCTTGGGCTTGTGTTTTCGGAGGAGTAGATTGCTGGTATGCGGTTTGGATCGATGCTGAGAACGGGAAAGATTTGATGGTAGCCGGACATAATCAATCAAGGAAGGAACTGTGGTTTGATCGAGAGGAGACATCATTGGTGTAAAAATAAAGGTCAGTCAAATAATTTGAATGAAAGAAAATTTTAAGATATTCTAAAGATAAAATCAAATATAAGCATACGAACTAAGATTCCAAGTTTCAAAGAGTTATTTTTTTTTGTGAATAAATTATATTTTTATATGGTCATTTTTTTTAGTAGATATTATTATAAAACAGATCAATAGATAGTTTGTAATTAAAATTAAATTTAGAGTATAGGAGTTTGTTGGGAAAGATAATTGCCCACAGAAGTTATTTATTAATAATAATCGTATTGAAAATATTATGAAAATAAATAATAATTTGTGTGCACATTTATGTTGTTTTAATGTTAGTTCCGTTTCCTGTTCTATCCCGATTATGAGCAACTAGGAGATACTGAACCCACTAGAAGAGATATATAAAGTAAACTGATTAAAGTAATAATTTTTAATAAAAAGATACCCTAAGAATTTTTAGTAGTAACTGAATTATATGACTCTGCATAAATTAGTGAATTAATTATTTAAATAATTGGATTAATTAAATTAGCGTTAATTAATATTAAAACATCATAAAGCAGATCACAACAATACATTACCAAATACTCCAGGAAAGTTTGGAAAGACAGATCTATCTCTCAAAATATCAAGATGAGACTGGTGAATGCCCTTGTATTCTTAATATTTCTATACGGGGCAGACACTTTAAGGGGTTTAACAGATCCTCTGCATCTCTTTTCCGAGCTACCGTCAACAAAATT